AAAAACTATGCATGTGCATAGTTCTCTTCGCCCGAACACAGGGGTGTCTGCTCCAGCAGACGCAGCTGTGAACACTGACTCCGAAGAAACGCGCGTCGATCCTTTCCGCGAGTCCGTCTCGGCCGATCCTGCGAATCACCCAAGGAGTACTGAAAAGATGCCTTGTTAGGCGCGCAACGAACGTGTAAAATTGTGCGCGGGTGCTTAAGTATACGTACAGATAGCGATGTGTAAATGTGTACGCACTGGAATAGAGCCACGCGCGCTTCGCGCACGCTCAGGATCGAGAATCCTCTGAGGGGCCTTGCAAACAACTGCAAGGGGGCCCTGCCCTCTTGGGACGTCTGAGACTTCTCCGAGTCGCTCTTAACGCCATATAGAGCGAACATTCACAAACTACCCCCAACCTCACAGAGCCCCAAGGTCCCTCGAAAACTCACACGGGTACAGGAGGTAGCCAATTGGGGATATGGTAACTGTCCAGGGCTGGTGCGGGAGGTTATCCACCATGACGTGAGACGGCTAAGAGTTAGGTCGTGCATGTCCCCCTACAGGCGGATCTGGGGCGAAAAAACAACAACAAACAAAAAAAAAAAAAAAAAAAAAAAAAACGTCTTGACTATTGTTGAACATTCCTCCTGTAGGGGGATAGGCGACAGGCATAGAGGGAGAGTCAAGACGATGTTTTCCTCTTCTCTTCCCCGATGTCTTGATGATTTGTGTGCCTCTCTGTCCTCCGTTTTCTTCTGAGGCCAAAGTCGTCGAGGGACAGGCCCGACGTAAGCCTGGAGTGTAGGCGTACGCTTGGACTCCTCCTGGGGCGTCGCAGCGCCGTCACGGGGCTCGCTGGGAGGCGCTTCGGGGGGGGGGGCCTGGGGGGAGCCCCTGGGCCCTTGGGCTAAGTCGGGCGTGTCCTCCTACAGGGGGATTTTGGGCGCAAAGGGAACAGTGCGCAAAAAGTACCCTCCGAATGGGCAGAAATTGTCCAAAAAAAGTCCCCGGACTATGCTTGGGCTTATTTGGGGATATTCCCCCTGCAGAGGGACAGACCCGACTTAACCCTTGGGAGCCTCTGCGCTCTTGTTTGCTGGCGAAGCTTCAAGTCGGGCCTGTCCCTCTACAGGAGGAATGCTCACAAGTAGCCAGAAAATAATCAGGGGACGATTTCTGTTGCATTTTTTACCATTTGGGGGCATTGTTGGACTATGTTTCATTTTCGTCCAAAATCCCCCTGTAGGAGGACAGGCCCGACTGAAGCGAAGCTCCACCAAAATACTACCAGTGCGCTGGGCCGTGTCAAAGCCTACTTGGGACGCGCCGGGAGCTCTCCTGGGGCGTCCCCGACCCTTTGAACCGTAATGAAGCCATCTTGAGCGAATTTGGTGCCCATGCATGCATGCCATATATACATGAATGCATACATACATACATGTATAGATGCATGCACACACATACATGCATGCATACATACATACATACGAACGTACATACATACATACATACATACATACATGCATGTACATACATACATACATACATACATACATACATACATACATACATACATACATACATACATACATACATACATACATACATACATACATACATACATACATACATACATACATACATACATACATACATACATACATACGTACATACATACATACATACATATATGCATACATGCATACATACATACATGCATGCATGCATGCATGCATACATGCATGCATGCATGCATATATACATATATCTATATACATATATATATATATATATACATATATATGTATATGCATACACACACATACATGCATACATACATACAAGCATACGAACGTATATACATACATACAGACATGCATGCATACATATATACATACATACATACATACATACATACATACATACAAACAAACAAACAAACATGCATGCTTGCATGCATTCATGCATGCCATATATACATGAATGCATACATACATACATACATGCATGCATGCATGCATGCATGCAGACATACATACATACATGCATACATACATACATGTATAGACGCATGCACACACATACATGCATGCATACATACATACGTGCATACGAACGTGCATACGTACATACATACATACATACATACATACATACATGCATGCATGCATACATACATGCATGCATGCATGCATGCATGCATGCATACATACATACATACATACATACATACATACATTACATACACACATACATGCATGCATTCATGCATACATAAATATATAGATGCATACACACACATACATGCATACATACATGCATGCATACATACATATGTACGAACGTACATACATGCATACATACATGCATACATACACGTACGTACGTGCATACCTACATACATGCATACACACACATATACGTACAGACAGACATGCATACATACATAAATACATGTGTATATACATACATGCATGCATGCATACATGCATGCATACATGCATGCATGCATGCATACATACCTACATGCCTACATATAGGCATGCATACATGCATACAAACATAGACACATGCATGCATGCATACATGATTACATACATGCATGCGTGTCCATATGTGTGTGAAAAGATGTGTACTTCTCTATGCATGTGTCAGTACACATGTATGTGCACGTACATATGTACGCGTATGTATAGATGTGTCTAAACAAACACATGTAAATTCATATATATATATATGTATACACAGCTGTACATATATATATATATATGCAATACAAATGTACACCTTGTACATACGAATACATACATGCATACATGCATGCACATATACATATACATATACACATATTGTAGTGTGTTGGAACTTCCAGTGGCCAAGTGCGGGTGCGAAAATACATTCCGCACATTGTTATCTGCATGGGAGTCCTGGTGATCGCCGTCGCGATGCCGTCTGCGTCGCCCTGCTGCTGCGCCCCTGAAAGAATACGTGCACCGCGCCACTCGCGCCGCTCCCTGCGTCTGGCGTCGTCATCTTCCTCCTCCTCCTCCTCCTCCTCCGCCTCCTCCTCCTCTTCCTCCTCTTCCTCCTCCTCTTCCCCCTCTTCCTGCTCCCCCTCTTCCTGTTCCCCCTCCCCGGCAGAACCCCGCCCTCCCGGGCGCCTCGTCCAAGATCGGGGCATCGCGGTTGAACCTGGACGGCTGGAGGGGCAGGGGGAGGAGGGGGAGGAGACGGCGGAAGAAAGGGAGGAGGGAGGAAAAGGGGGAATGGAAGGGAAGGCGAGGAGAGGGGCCACGTGGAGCGTCCCCAGGTCCGCGAGGGTGATCTCCATTGAGTGCTGCAAGTACGACTTAAGGGGCCCAGACCCAGGGCCCCAAGTCCAAGATTGTCGTGAGTGTCTCGCGTGCTGTCGTGTGATGTTCCAAAGGAGCCCAGAGGACCCCAAGACGGGCCAAGAGGCCCCAAGCGGTCCCCAAAACGCTTCAAGAGAGCCCCCAGACGGCCCAAGAGCGCTCCAAGACGGTCCCTGATGACCTTGAAACGGGCCAAGGCCTCCAAGATGGCCCCAGAGGGTCCCAAGAGAAACCCCAACAAGGCCCCCAAGAGACCCAAATCTGTGATTTCCCTCATGCCTTGAAAGATTGTAGCGTGTTTGCATTGTCTGGCTTCCATCGCTCCAGGCCCAAGAGCCCCCCGAGATCACTCCAAGAGGTCAGGTGGCCCCCGAGAGAGCCCCCAGACGGCTCAAGGTGGCCCCAAGACGACCCAGGAGGCGACCAAGAGGATCCACCAGGGCCCAAGCGGGGGTCCAAGAAGAACCAAACAAGAAGAAACCCCAACTGGCGCTTCGAGGCCGTTCCCCCAAGATTGGCCCAAGAGGCCCCCCAAGACACCCCCCAGCCGCTCCCAAAAGGCCCCAGAGGTTCCAAGTATGCATCCAATATGCCCCCGGAAGGCTTCCCCCAAGAAGCATCTAAGAGGCCTTCGGTCTATGACCCAGGCACGGTGGCGGGATGGGACGAAGGTCACTGGATTGTTTCAGAGTTCTGCCCCAGTCGGGTGCCGCGCGCGTGCTTCTGAAAACTTCTACCAGCTACAGGTACGTTGGGCAATCCCCTCGCAAACTCACTGCGAGCGGGTTGCAACGTGATGCGGCCCATTGGATGGGCACCTTTCTGGTGGATGCTCTCCGCAGTGAGAGGAAACGCTCGCATTGACTTACTCGGAGGAAGCTGGGACGCGTATTGCGGCATCCATGTTTCGTGACGGATCCACTAAGGCCCTATAGAGCTATAGAACTCCTCCTCCTCCTCCACCTCCTTCTCTTCTTCCGTCCTCCCTCCTCACTGTCCGTCCTCGCCCTCCCTCCCCCTCCTCCTCATCATCCTTATCCTCCCTTCTCATCCCCGTCCTCCCCCTTCGCCTCCTCCGTCTTCGTTCGTCCTTTTTCCCTTTCCCAGCCAGCGAAAGACGAGTGAGCAGTGAGGAATGAGGAGTTAAGTGGAGGAGAAGTGAGGAGGAGTGAGGAGTGAGGAGGAGGAGGAGGAGGAGGAGGAGGAGGAGGAGGAGGAGGAGGAGGAGGAGGAGGGGGAGAAGCAGGAGAAGGAGAAGGAGAAGGAGAGAGGAGAAGGGGGAAGACCAGGAGGAGGGTAAGCGGAGGAGCAGGAAGAGAAGCCGGAACTCTGCGCGAGACTCGGGTCATGAGCGCGCACCTTTCCCGGTCGACCACTGCGCTGCGAACGCGCTGGCCCCGCACGCACGGCATGCTGGCGCGCCTCATCGGCGCGCCCTCACGCAAGAGGAGGAAGAGGGAGGAGGAGGAGGAGGAGGAGGAGGAGGAGGAGGAGGAGGAGGAGGAGGAGGAGGAGGAGGAGGAGGAGGAGGAGCGCGGAGGAGCGAGGAGCGCGGAGGAGCAGGAGGAGAGAGGAGGGAGGAGGGAGGAGGGAGGAGCGAGGAGCGAGGAGCGAGGAGGAGTGAGGAGGAGAGCACGAACGCGGAGGAGCGAAGAGGAGGAGGAGGAGGAAGAGGAGGAGCAGGAGGAGGAGTTTCCGCTGGGCGGCCAGCATGCGGCGCCCGCGCGGCGGCAGTCGCGCCGAGCTTCGCTGGTTTCGCGAGAGGGCGAGGGAGAAACGGACAGGGTGAGGAGGAGGAGGAGGAGAAGGGAGAGGAGGAAGAGGAAGAGGAGGAGGAGGAGGAGGAGGAGGAGGCGGAGGAGGGAGGAGGGAGGAGGGAGGGGGAAGGAGAAGGGGGGGAGAAGGTAAGGGGAAAGAGAAGGTAGGGGGGGAGAGGAGGAGGAGGAGGATCAGGAGGAAGAGGAGGAGGATAATCAGGAGGAGGAGGCGAAGAAGGATCAACCAGCCAGCACCAACCAGCCAGCAACAACCAGCCAGCATACACTGATACACCAAACCAGACAGCAACAACGATAAACCTTATTACGATCCAACAGTGCGGCACCACACATAGGATCAGAAGCCCGAGTCACCCGCAACCACCTAGCCTCAGCATTCCCAGAGTTTGTCCACCACCACAGGCCGCAAGGGCTCAGCGCTGGCCAAGGACATCAGACGTTCGCCACAAACAAATAGACTTCCAACCAAAGGCACCTCCGATACAGTTCCAAGAAGGACGAATGGGAGTCACACCGAATGCCTTCACACACGGAGCAACTTGAAAAGCTACACGTCCTCAACAACAACGACCAAAGGTCTTGGACTACATCGAAGCGATACGCAACCACCCGATGCAATACCAACAGTACCTAACAGAATTACAACAGCGCAACCGACGCCAAGCAGAACTACGACAATGACAAGAAATAGCCACTGCCATGGCAGTGCCAGCCATGCCCAAGCCCAAGTTCCCAGTACCAGAATACAATGCGCCATCTACACCGAAACCAACCTTCCCAACACTACGGGCGGACGGCAGCCCTCACTGGGGATGACAGAACAGGAGTACCACATGTACTACAGCTTGTTATGGTTCCCAAAGATTGGACAGTACTACGGCAGGGATTGCAGAGTCTACGACCTCGCTACATCCACCACAGCAACCGCCAATACCTCAATTACCGCAGAAGGAAGAGTTCTGAAGGCTTGCCCTCCCGCCTTTTCCACCCCCATGGTACCAAGGCTCCTCCTGCTATCGTACTCCTCTCACCTTGCCCGCTCGATCAGTCGCTGTGGGCTACTCCTCCGCCCCAGGGTCAGTGCCTCGCTGATTGCGGGTGAAGGCCGAGGCCCTGCACGTCCGCTTGCGGAGGCATCGGACTTCGACGCTCGCCTCTTTTGGTGCGTCACCCCCCCCCCTGCTCTCCCCTTCTCCCTCCCCGTCGCTGCTGCCTGCTGAAGAGCCGCAACAGGTACACTTCTACCTCCAGCCTGAGCCTCCAGCTGCCTTTGCGTTTGACACCTATATCTTCAGGCCTCACCTCTCACGATCCTCCGATCAGCGCTCCCCATCTGCTCTTATCAACGTACCTGTCACATATTTCGCCTGTCGGCAGATTCGAGTCACTGGCTCTAGCCAGACGGACTAGGCAATCGTCGCTTTCGTCGGCCGTGCTACGATCGGGTGGAGGGGCGTTGTGCACCTCTGGGACGAGTTGGGGGGATTCGGGGGACCGACTCCTGGCCATCTTGGCCTTCTGCGGATGGGCTCTGCCCCACTGATGTCCGCCGTGTTTTCACGCCTCCACCTCACAGCTCAGCGGCTCTAGCAGAGTCCAGCCACAGCCGCCAATGTTCTGCTCGTATTCGCGCCTTGTTTGTCGCCACGGGCCAGCCAGCACTGCCTGAGCCAGCCTGCACACAGCTGCCTCGCCTGTCTATGAAGCGCAAGCCATAGTACGCACGGTCTCTTCCCTCTGCTTAATCACAGACTCCTCTCAGCAGTTGCCGAGCACTTCCATACTTCAAGAATATTTCCAAAACTGACTCTGGTCACTTGCCTCGCCACTCTGTCTTATCACGCCCTTCTACGCTACATGGCCATGCAGCGCCGGCCCAACACGACGTACTTGATGGATGGATTGGGACTTGATTGGGGGGTAGATGGTTGAGGTGGAGGAAGTTATCTCGCCTCTGTGTACATCTCTTACCAGCTGCACTGCCTCTGACGCATGCTTACAGGACACACTAGCGCGTACCAGCCCCATACGCCCACTGCTCACGACCAGGCAAAGCCGGCCTAGCAAAGTTGAAAGACTCTTACACAGTGTCTACTCAAGCCTCTTAGTTCACAAAGTTTAGAGTGATCATACTCTTTACCACTCTTATCGTCAGCTTTCTGTTCTGTCTCTGGGGTTGGAGAGGCTATGGGTATGGGTTTTACGCACTGGGAGGGGGGAGTCATCCCACCGCGCTCGCAGCCGCCACTACTTGCCAGCCCCCTCCTCGCAGCCTCACACGTTTTTACATGTCAGTCGACTGCACTGTTTCTTTGAGGCCCCCCTAGACACAAGGTGCGACCCCTCATTTCACAGGTAGCAGCCCAAGGTCCACGCTCGCATGCATAGTTCCAAGCACCCAACCACTGCCATCTCCGTACATGTCAGCCTTCGGCCACGACAGCTGTCTTGTGCTACTCCCGCGCATTCTGCCGACGGCTTGCCACAGCTCGCACACGGGCCAGCCCACTGTGCGCCAGCCTTTACTGTTCCCGGTCCGCTGTTACCGAGGGTTTGTGCCTAACCCGAAAAAAACACACAAGAAGCACGAGGGCCCTGGGACCGTGGAGGTCTGGGGTGAACCGAATAACCTTGGGCGGCAACGTGGGAACTGCCTCCTAGCATGCATTATTGTTTTGCAGTTTTAGGCCGCCCTTGAACCGCCACACATGTGCAGCAGGTTGCAGCCAGCTGCAGCCATCGCACAGGCCAGCCTCCTGATATTCCAGCCTAATGTTTGGTTCCTCACTCCACCTCTGTCTTCAACACATACCTTGCTTCCGTCGTCGCCTGTTCTGTTAGCCTTTACATTACATTGCCATCCTGTCTAGAGAGGGACGCGTAGTGGCTCTTGTTTAGGGGCGGGAGTCGGGTCGCTACAAAGAGGGAAGCAATAGGGCGCGCCAGAGTGCAACACCCGCTGCATCACCGCCAAAGGCGGCATTGCCTTCTGGCCCCACTCTCTAGTCGCCTGTATCTCTGCCATTCCTTGCGGGAGATGGCGGGGAGGCTTCATCTATCATCAATGGACGGGACTGGGTGCAGTACTCACACGAGTTTGGCGCCAGACCACCTGCAGCTGTCGTCAGTTTGTCTCGTTCGGTGTCTTTCCTGCTCATGGTGATCAGGTTCAGTCGTTCGATGTTCAGTCGTTCGATGTTCAGTCGTTCGGTCTCGTTCAATCGTTCTTCCCTTCCCTTCCAGGTCTCGTTCAGTCGTGATCGGCGCTTCCATTCCCAGTCTCATTCAGTCGTTCGATGTTCAGGTTCATGGTTCGGTCCTTCCCCTCTCCACCACACGGCCTGGCGGGCGCATACTCCATGGCCTTTGGGCCACGTCCTCTTCTCGCGTCGCGCTGCCTTACCTTTTCCGGCTGCACCCGCGAGGCTTAATTCGTTTGATCCCTACCCAAATCGGCATTATGTGTTGTTTAGTTCGCATGGACGCTCCACGCTGCTGCATTGAGTCAGCGCAAGGTCAAAAAGGAGAAAGAGGCGGAAGAGGAGCTTATGTCAACACACCGCGACAACTGCCGCAACATATTCCCGTGCATTCCCCCGCGCAACGAAAGCTCTTAGTCGCGGCCCTCCCTCGTCGCCGTTTCATCGTTCTCCCCGCCCCCTTTCTGGGGAAGGATGGTGGACCTAGCTACCGTTCCACCTAGAGGGTCCTTTCTCCCTTGCTGTGCGCTTCCTTCTAAGTTTACAGCCACCTACTCGATCCGGAGGAGGTCTTGCAGCGTTCGTCACCGGCCAATGTCATCAGAGTCGATCGTCGAGGAGGAGGAGGAGGAGGAGGAGGAGGAGGAGGAGGAGGAGGAGGAGGAGGAGGGGGACGAGGAGGAGGAGGAGGAGAAAATGGAGAGGGGGAGGAGGAGCCAGAGGAGGAGGAGGAGGAGGAGGAGGGGGAGAAGGAGGATAATGAGGAGGGGGGATGAGCAGGAAAGGGCAGGAAGAGGAGGAGGAAGAGGAGGAGGAGGAGAACGAACGAACGAACGACTCAACAGAGGTGCGCCAGCACGGGTCATAGCCCCACAACCGACTACAGAGCGGAGTAATACCCCTCGGAATTACTGGCAATCACATCTAAAGTGCGCCATGGTCCAATCATCGGACAGAACCACGCGTGGCCTCGTGGCACGGTGCTCCCACCCACCCCCTTCCACGGCTGGATTGCCACGTTCTGAAGACGGCGGGCCGAAGGGGCAAGGGCAAAACCGGGTGAGCTAAAAAGTCAAGCCTACGCAGGCCTCCGACTCACGCGATGGCCCACGAGAGAGGGGGCCATCACGCGAGAGGAAGGGGGGACGACCCTAAATCGGGTTCGAAAACTCCCCAGGAAGGACAGGATTGAAAGCAAACGCACAGGGAGGGCCCCAGGAACCAAAACTACTTACGCCTGGGGGCCAACCCAAGGAGACTCATTACACTGCGGAGAGGGAGGTTCTGACTGGAGGAGGAGGTGGGTGCGGCAAACAGATTCGGCGGCCTAGACGAGGTCATAGAGGAAGGGTCCGCTGGAGGACGGGGCGCGCCCGACGTCGACGGAGTATACCCCGTGGCCCCCGCAGACTGTGCAATCGGTCCCGTGGCCTCACTCTGAGCTGCACTCCAACTCATCTGCGATCCCGAACCCAGACTTAGTGGAGCAGAGGGCGAGGTAGGAGCCGACGCAGTACCCAGAGCCCGCGTGGCCTCCTCCTCCTCTCTACCCACAGCAGGCAAGCGAGCCGTCCCCGACAGCTCGCCAGAATAAGCTCGCGCTTCACTGCTGGGGCAAAAAGAGGAGTAGGCCGTCGCCGTCCGTAGCAAGCACGCCGAGAGAGACTGGATCCTGGATTCCTCACCGTCGTGCTGGGTAGGAGTCGACGCGATGCCCTGCGCGGGTGTGGCCACCTCCCCCCCCTTCCACAGCAGGCAAGCGAGCTGTCACCGACAGCTCGCCAGAAAAAGCTTGCGCTTCACTGCTGGGACTGAGGGGGGATCGGGCCGTCTCCACTTGCTGTAAGCACGCAGAAAGAGACTGGATACTGGCCATATATTATTCGGTCGGCGGCGTGGCCTCCTCCACTCCTCCCTCAGCGGGCAAGCGAGCCGTCACCGACAGCTCGCCAGGATAAGTTTTCGCTTCACCGCTGGGCCGAAGGGAGGAGTGGGTTGTCGCCGCTCTCAGAAAGCACGCCGAGGGGGGCTGGATCTTGGATTCATCTTGCTCGCCCGTCAGACTCAGATGCTCTCGAGGGCGTCCAGATGCACCTGCATCACTCGAGCTCCGTGACTCCTGGGTGGGATGCCGCGCTCGCGCTCGCCGCCGAGCTGGACCAGCGCGGCCACCACCACGTTCTCGAGCTCGGGAGGGTCGACCTTGAGCCACAGCTTCACGAACTCCCCCGTGTGCGTCATCTGCATGCGGCAGTGGTGGATCTTGTCGGCCAGCAGCGCGTCGCTGGGCTTCTCGTGGTTGACCGTGGCCATGTACGACTGCAGGGCCTGCAGATTGAGTTGTCCGACGTTGTCTCCTTGCACAGTTGGCGCCCCCACCAGGGCCAGGAAGACGCGAGGATGAGGAATGCCCAGATCTTCGAGCGCCTGCACCAGCTGCCCCGCGGCCAGCGCCTGCGCGTTGTCCTTGCGGGGCCTCGCTGTCTCGCGGCCGTAGAACTTCGCCGTCAGCTGCATCGCCTTGATCACGTCGCGCTTGCTCGGCATCTGCACGTGCCTGTACGGGGCGGCCTCGAGGTGGTTGATCGAGTGCTCGCGACGGAGGGCAAGGCGCGCGAGCACGGGGAATGTTGCCTGAATCCACTCCAGTGGCATGAGGTCTAAACCTTGCACGCCTCTTGGCGCCAGGCCATAGTGGTTGTCCACTAGATGCATGACGTCTGGCGCGCGGGGGGCTCCGTTCGTGCCAGTCGCCGCTGGTGGCGCCGACGGGGCCGCGCCTCCTGCTGCGGACGCTGCTGGAGCCCCTCGGCGGCCCTGTCGCCGACCTGGGCCGCCTCTGCCTCGGTCGGCGCTGCGAGTGTGGTCGCCGAACCTGCCCCGAAGCTCTTGCTCTCGCTGTTCGGCCCCAGTACTCAGGGCCCGCTCCGCCAAAGTTGACATCGAAGCACAGGTCTGGTGGCGGCGGGGCGCGCACTTCTCGCATGTGTTGTTGAAGCGAAGCAAGTGAGGGAAACTCTCCTTGAGCCCGAACGGCTTCCGTGAGTCTCTCTCGATGATGGGAATTGTACGCTGTCGGGGTCCACGCAGACAGGGCACATCAGGACCTCTGGAACCTTCAGAGCAGGGGAGTACGGGCTGAAGCCGGTCAAGCATCTCATCCGCCTGAGGGACTGGACCACGTGGCGCCTAGCTAGCACCTCCGAAGAGAACGTCGAGGAGCAATAAAAAACACTGGTTTGTCACAATCAGCTGATGGACGGGGACGCGTGCTTTATGGGCAGGGTGATGGCAAAGATGGGCCCTGAGTGCAGCTCTCGTCTGGAAGACCTGGTTGCAGACCATCCCCTCGGCATCGGGAAACTCGCACACTTACTCTCGTTCTGGGGGCTCAGGCACAGGAGGAACGGGTACCCCAGGAGCTCGAGGAGGAAGGGGTGGAACGTTAGGCTCTTGATCCCAGTAGGCCCGTCGGAGTCCCTTGGGGTCCACACTGCTGAACGCTGTCGCGATCCGATAGTTCGTGAAGATGTCCCTAATCGAGTGCCCCTGGTCGAGGAAGTGGCGGCCATGCGGTGTCACGCGAAGCGTCATGGTATCTTCTTGCATCTGGAGAGCCCAGGGGTTCGCTTTTGGGTGAATCCAGCCATTTTCCAAGAACACAGGTCGATCTTGCAGTACAGAAAAATGTCCAAACAGAGCTGCTGTCACCTGCACAGTCGCTTCAGGGTGAAGCGCCAGATTTTGCCAGTAGCGTAACATGCGGACTAGCAGTTCCGTGCGTGCATCACCGATGAGTAGCCTCTTCCGCAACATCCAGGCCTTGGGGGTCCTGACCTGCTCATGTTCGCCTTCACCTCGCCTGGTAGCAACTCCACGTAGGCCAACGCTGGCAAACCCCAAGATAACCTTATCCAGCCTAGCGTAGTCCCTTTTCCCCAGGATGTAGGTCTCGAGGCCCGAGTAGGCCGCACTATGTATGACACCCAAGAAGGCCATCCGCTTGTGCTTTAAGGCGTGTGCTGATTCCAGAACCTCCCCAGCTTGCACCACGCCGAACGAGTCGCGTCGATACGAGCCCGAATATCAGCTCCACATCCCCCCGAAAGCTGCTCGATACCGCCTAGATACACCGCCTGCGCCTGAGGACCACCAGGAAAACAAGAAATCGTTCCCGAGAGAACGGCCCGAGTTGACGTAGAACCTCCAGGACCCACGAAGACTGGGAGAACCACCTCCTTGTCGGCATTCTGTGCGAAGCCCCCGGGAGAAGGAGGAGGAGGAGGAGAAGGAGGAGGAGGAGGAGAAGGAGGAGGAGGATAAACAATGTTTGAGAAGGATAGGGCATACTTGAGAAGGATAGGCGGTGATGAACGAGAAAAAGCCAGAGAAGGAAAGGCCATGCTCGAGGAGGAGGAGGTGCCTGGACGGCTGGTCTGTAGGGAAGAGCCACTGCACGTAGTCGTGGCAGAGCTCCTGGCGGAACGACTGGGCCCTCCCGCCGCGCGGTCGTCACCGCCGTCGCCGTCGTCGCTCCTCCGCCGCCTACTCCTCCTCCTCTCCTCCTCCTCCTCCTCCTCCTCCTCCTCCTCCTCCTCCTCCTCCTCCTCCTCCTCCTCCTCTCTCCTCCTCCTCCTCCTCCTCCTCCTCCTCCTCCTCCTCCTCCTCCTCCTCCTACCTCCCCACTCCTCCTCCTCCTCCTCCTCCTCCTCCTCCTCCTCCTCCTCCTCCTCCTCTCCTCCTCCTCCTCCTCCACCCTCCTCCTCCTACGCCGCCCTCCTCTACGCCTCCTCCTACTCCTCCTATCGTCGCCTCCTCCTCCTCTCCTCCTCCTCCTCCTCCTACTCCTCCTCCTCCTCCTCCGCCTACCTCCTCCTCCTCCTCCTCCTCCTCCTCCTCCTCCTCCTCCTCCTCCTCCTCCTCCTCCTCCTCCTCCTCCTCCTCCTCCTCCTCCTCCTACGACGACTCTTCCTACTCCTCCTCCTCCTTCTCCTCCTCCTCCTCCTCATCCTCCTCCTGCTCCTCCTCCTCTTCCTCCTCCTCCTCTTCCTCCTCCTCGTCCTCCTACTACTCGTCCGTCTTTCTGAATGACGCATGGTAACTAGTTTCTTTTTATCTTTGTCGTGAGGGCAAGCTTCGCAATCCTCCATCGCAAGAAAAGCAAAAAAGGCACAGCACCGGCGCATTGAACTGCATGGCTACAGGAACGTTGGCTCCCAACAACCCAGTCATTCGTTTCAGGCAGGCGAGGCTCAAAATCGATGTGTCTTCTGTATTGCGTCTGCACGACGCCCTCGAAACTTCCTGGGAGACACCATCGTTCAGACTGCTGAAGGAAACCCCACCACGCTTGGAAAGAAGATCTGGGAGGCACATCCCTGAACTATGGCTCGAAAACGGCCTTCGCATGATCGCCACGACGGTGGAACAGGGGAGATGCATGCCAGCCACCTCTTGGCGAAAGTCCCCCGTCAGAGGAAGATGCCCTCATCCGCGCGAAAATTGCTGGATCGCTGTCGAAACCAATCCAACTGCAAATGTGCCTGTCCTGTATCTTGTGCCACAGGGCCCGCGTCCGCATCCCAGTTCCGCACTCGCCAATCCACCGGGTCTATCCCCCCAAGAGTGCATACACCAAGATCGTTTCCGTCTGCCCTAGAAAAATTATCCTGGCGAAGGTCCCAACCATATGCAGTTGTGGGTACCGTAATTGTGAATATCTGCTTCGGTGAAGCTCCCTATGGGGCCACGAAGCGCTGCACTGGGCGGGGGGGAACGCTGTACTGTGCGGGTGGTGTGCCGAATTGGGTTTCCGGGACGCATGCGGACGGTCCCACTGAGGGCTTCAGTGGAGCTCCCTATGGGGCCACGAAGCGCTCTACTGAGTGAGTGAAAATACCAAATTGGGTTTCCGGGACGCATGCGGACGGTCCCACTGGGGGCTTCGGTGGAGCCCCCCATGGGGCCACGAAACGCTGCACTGCGCGGTTGAAAATGCCAAATTACATTTCCCTGACGCATACGGACGGTGGCACTGGGGCCTTAGGTGGAGCCCCTATGGGGCCACGAAACGCTGCACTGGGTGGGTGAAAATGCCAAATTCGGCTTCTGGGACGCATGCGGACGGGGGCACTGGGGCCTTCGGTGGAGCTCCTTATGGGGCCACGAAACGATGTACTGGGTGTGCGAGGCACATGCGGACGGTAGCGCTGGGACCTTCGGTGGGGCTCCCTATGGGGCCACGAAACGCTGTACTGGGCGTGCGGGACGCATGCGGACGATAGCACTGGGACCTTCGGTGGGGCTCCCTGGGAGGAGGGGGAGGAGGGCCACGAAACGCTGTACTGGGTGTGCGGGACGCATGCGGACAGTAGTACTGGGACCTTCGGTGGAGCTCCCTATGGGGCCACGAAACGCTGAACTGGGTGGGGAGGGGAGGAGGGCCACGAAACGCTGTACTGGGTGTGCGGGACGCATGCGGACGGTAGGAGGGGGGGGCAGAGGAGGAGGGGAGAACGCGGGGACCGTTTCTTCAAAACGAGGACCCAACACCACAGGGCGGTTGGGAAACATCAACGAGTGGTGCTTTGGGCTTTCGGGGCGGTCGCCGCCCCGTGGCCGCCTCGAGGTCGCCCCGCCCTCCGAAGAGCCTGCTGCCTGAGACGAATTGGAGTCTGC